CGTAATACAGGCAAGTCAATTTCACATTAAATGAATTTTATTGATCACTAGTTACTCGCCACGGGTTTGCACGGGTGTACATGTATTATGCATATAAACCTTCCTCTTGAATCACTCTATCTGTTTAAAAATACCGCTTCAAAATTCGTAGCGTAGTTTTAAAAATTTAAGCATATATAGGGACGGACAGACAGCGACAAAGACTTTGTTTTATACTATGTAATAATAATAATGAAGGATCAGATGATATAATTATTTCAGTCATTTAACTGCTATAGAGATCGAGAGATTTTTTCAGATTCATTGTCAACTGTTATTGTAATTAATGTACAAGATGAACAATCAATTGAATCTGCGTACTGAACTGGACGGCAGGGACAAATTATAATATAAAAAAATTGACCTTCATAAGCGGCTGAAATGTCTATGCGAATAAATGATTTTTTAATTTGAATTTCTATTGAAAATCGAGATATTATATATTATATTATAATGATGAAGAAAGGTTAATGTGGTTATAATAGGTTTTATAATAAAAGTGATAAAATACATGAACAGTAAAGAGGGTAAGCAATAGGTTAACCAAGAACCTGTATTCATGAGTGTCAGTCTTGGTTCCACTTAACATTAGGTGGGTCAGCATGTTTGACATTCTTTCTTCTTCTTCATCCTCGCCTCTTCCCGGTACACGGGATAGGCTTTCCTAATCTTGAGGCGCCATGCATTTCGCTGATAGACATTTGATAGATCCAACTCTTTCATATCCCATTGCACATTAGTTAGCTGGGTAGTTAGTGGCCTGCCTCGTTATCTTTTCATTGTAGCCATGGATAGGCACTTATTCGCTATGTTTGTTTTCGGGCTTTAGCGTAATATATCCGTATGGATATATTACGCTAATTAGCTCAAAGAGACTTAGGGTGTATACCCTAAGTCTCTTTGAGCTCTTCGTTAATAGGTATCACTCCAAAACTGCCTCTTACATGTTCAATTAGGAATAAATAATAATAATAATAATAATAATAATCTGGAAAAATCAACCAGTCTGGAACAACATCTCAGACGGTTGGAATTCCGAGGCTCACTTCCGGGAAAGATGCAGAAAGCGGTGCTGTTAGATTCTGCCCGCATTGTACGCCGGTTTCTCTCCCTGGGGCCCTGAACCCCGGCCGACTGTGCTTCTGCCGGGGGTATGTTGCCATCTCCTCTCCTTAAGAGGGGAGATGAGAATTTTTGGAAAAAAAAAAATAATAATAACTTTATTGTGCAAAAAAAAACAAATACAAATACAAAAGGGACTTAACTAAGGTTATATATCTATATTAATCCATATATATATAATAGTTTTTAAAACTATTTAATATCAAGTCCAGTGCAGTAGTGTCTAAACTAGGTCTAGCCTGTATCTCAGACACCATTGCCCACCTAAAGATAACATGCTATACGATTCTTTAGAGAATAAATCCCTAAGTGTTGTTACCACCGGAGTTACCACCTACCCAACGAAGCATACGGACTTCAATAGTATGTAGTTTACCATGTTTTCCATTCGTTACAGTTGCTGCCGCGTCTTGTTATATATATAAGTTTTTTTAATATTTATAAATACGAAAGTATGTCTGTCCGTCTTTTCCTTTTGGCGACTAAACGTATCGTAAAAAAATTTTATATACATATATTATATTATATTGTATGATAATGGAAAGGTGCACCAACCTGCGCTGGTTGTTTACGCTAGCTCGTCACCAATGGAGGATGATAAAATGAGAACAAGGTCAGGTCAGCCAGCACATATTCTCAAGGAATTCATTACGATGGTTTCCAGGGGAACCGCGTGGAGATCAACTTGACATGGTACATTGTTAGCAATCATTAAGTCCACATTACTAACAATACCCTTCCCCAGATACGATAAATTGTATTATCTATAAATCTTATATGCAAAAAAGTACACTACCAGTATCATTACATAGTATAAAACAAAGTCGCTGTTGCTGTCTGTCCGTCTCTACATCCCTTCGAACGTTTTGACAGATCTGTGACAATAAAATAAAAAAACTTGTTCTAACAATATATTTACGCCTAAGACGTTTACCTACTCCCGGTCGGCATGCAATATACTCATAAAAAATTACCAAAGCAAGCAAGCAAATTACATGAGGCAGTAACAATAAAAGTTGTGCATAAAAATAAAGTGAGGAGGCATTCGAGACGGAAAACGGGCAACAAATCAATTCAGAATAATATATATGCGAGATCAACGGTCCAAAAAAGGATACCCAACGAGAATAAAACAAACAACACGTTTCTACTCTTTTATAAAACAAAATCAGAGTTTATTGAAAGGTTAATGTAAAAGTTTGTATTGCATCGCATTATAAGACTGTTTGTGTTTGTTTTTAAAATCTCTTGATTATTTTTTTTCTTTCATTACATATATATATATAATGAAATATACTAGCTGTTCTCCGCGACGTCGTCAGCATGAAATTTAACTTCCATTTTCCAAATAAAACACTAAAATAAAAGTAGCCTAAGTTACTCCTTATTACATCAGATACCTGCCAATAAAAGTCCCGTCAAAATCGGTCCAGTCATTTCAGAGATTAGCCGGAACAATCAGGCCGACAGACGGACAGACAGAAATTGTAAAAAATGTTATTTTGGTGTATACCGTATTTATATTCATATGCATGTAGTAAAAAACGGTTATTTCAATATTACAAACAGACGCTCCAATTTTATTTATATAGATCTTAATATACAATCACCAAACTTTATTTCTACAGCGCATACTATTAGAACAAATACTACAATAATGATTTCACTTACCGTCACTAATTTTTCTACGCAAAAAATAAAGGTATGATTAATAAATAAATTTATATATTTTAAGTAAATTGGCTTTCAAAAACAACTGTTACTGCTTATCATAGTATATTTTAGTGAGTATTATAAATAATCTAATGAGCTGTTTTATTACTTAAATAAAGATCTAATTCCATAATAATAATAATCTCAGGACAATTCACACAGCGCCATCTAGACCCCAGTTAAGCTAGCTAAAGCTTGTGTTATTGGTAGATAACTCATACATATACATAGATTTTTTTTTGTAAATACATATTATACATAGAAAACACCCAGACCGATACAAACAATCATACTCATGAATACATGTTTGTGCCGTGCGAGGAATCGAACCCGCGACCATCGGTCGTAAAGCGGTTTGCTAGACCGCTAGACCACAGAGGTCGTCAAAATTAAAATATTGTAAATGAAATTTAAAATTGCATTAAACAGATTTTTTTTATATAATTTATTACGGAGATATTATTTCCGTAACATACATATATACTAATACTAGATCCTAATCTATTATAAGATATAGTATTAAACTAATAATTTGATAATAACTTATAGTTTTAATATTATCATCAATATTACCAACCATTGACTGCCTCGGTGATTTAGCGGTTTACCACATCGTCTTACTTCTGATGGTCGCGGTTTCGATTTCTCACCCTGTCTATACATTTGCATTCATGTGTATGATTGTATGAGTATTTTCAATATCCATTCTGTGTTACAAAAAGATCTATGTATTTGTACCAGTTATCTAGTACGCTTTACACAAGCTCTAGCTTGGTATTAGATGGCGCTGTATGAATTATCCTAGGATTATTATTATTGTTATCATGAAACAAGTACTATTATAAGATATATTAAGATATTACAGATGTCTATCAACCGAATCAGAATTGTAATTAACTACAGTTTCATTAGGTTGCCATTACTACATATATACGAATCTACAACTACTTTATTTCTTCGTGTCTTTTTATATTTATATACTAGCTGTTCCCGCGACTTCATCCGCGTGGAATTTTATTTTATTTTCTAAAATTAAAGTAGTCTAAGTTACTTCTTATTACATCAACTACCTGCCAAAAAAAGTCCCGTCAAAATTGGTCCAGCCATTACACAGATTATTCGAAACAAACAGATAGACAGACAAAAATTGTAAAAAACGTTATTTTGGTGTAGGTACCGTATTTATATTCATATACATGTAGTAAAAAACGGTTATTTCAATATTACAAACAAACACTCCAATTTTATTTATATGTATAGATGTAATCTTATGATAGGCCTTTTTTTATCTATAACGTAGCCGAATATATTATCTGTTATTTTATCTGTCAATGAAATATTCTACGTAGTTGCACGTTAATGTTTATCAAATAAAAACTAAAACCAGTTTCGTTTTGTATTTGACGCGAGGATTGTGTAGTTATTCTTGGCTACTTAACTCAAATAATACTACAACAAAATTTGTTATAACTCTATTACAATTATAGTCTGTACATTATTCTTGACATATTTCTGCTGTGTTATCTTGTGATAGTTCTGTTTTATTCTCTATTTATTCTTTGTTATGTAATATAAGTGTTTATTATAAAAGGGTTAGTATTTAAGCGTAATTACTATTTATCAAATACAAAGGAGTACCATATGTTTGTTGATTGTTAAGTGACTTTAAAATAGATCTAGAATATGTAAAAATACTATGTGGGGACAAAGATCTTAGTTTTACCTAAGAATATTGTAATGAATATACAAACCAGAAACGTTAGACGCAAGTACCATAAGACTACTTATAGAATGTATATGTATACGTATATTATAGGACGCTGTTTATAAAAAACAATTGACAAATCTACTTATAACAAAAATAATCCAAACAATAAACATTTCTAATAAATTTAACTCGTACGTACACGTACGTACGTCGCTTAGAGCTAATTTTGATTAAATATTTACGCTCAAATATTTTTTGGGGTAGTAATAATATTGCAAAATAATTCTTGTTTACAATTATTATGCATTAACCGACTTTAATACTAAAAAATTATGAGATAAGTAATATTATCACAGATAAAATTATATAGTTAAAAACAAGTTCTTTATCAGTGCTGTAACAGAGATAAATTGTAAATAACATGAATACTGGAGAAATTCTTCATCAATTACTTAAGGATATCGGAAAAAGATATAATTATGAAGAGCCTAATATAGATTTCAAAGCCATTTGTAACAATGGAGCAAATTATACTTCAGTATTGTATGAGGCTACAATATCAGCACCAGATAAAGAAGATCTGAAACTGTTTGCAAAAGTAGCTGCCTTAAGTGAGAATGCTAGATCTCAATTACCTATAAGTTTATATGATACAGAACGCTTCGTGTATACTGAACTATTTAAAAATTATGCAAAGATACAAAACAACAACAAGCTTACTGAAAAAGATAAACTCTTATGGCCTGAATTTTATGGTTGCAATGCTAATCTGTACAAGGAAACTATAGTTCTCGAAAATCTAGCAGCAAAAGGATACACTACTTATGATAGATTTAAGTCTATAGATTGGCCGTACGCTGCAAAGGCAGTAGAATCATTGGCTAAGTTTCATGCCTTATCAATTGCTTACGGTGAGGAAAATTCTGAAGAGTATGCCAAAATCCTTGAAAATATGAAACAAAATCCAGCAGCTATGGAGCACATGAAAAAATCTCTCGAAACATCAGTCGCCTCTGCTTTAGCTGTAACGAAAGAAGAATATAAAGAACGATTAGAAAAGTACATAGAAGGCAATTTTGATATTGAAAAAATAGTAAAATATTTCCAACCAGTCGAAAGAGCAGTTTTAACACACGGCGACTACAGACCAAGTAATTTAATGCACAAAATAAATAACGTAAGTCTGCATTCTCAAATCATACAAAATACGCTTAAATTGAAACTCGCATAGTTTGATGAATTATTAAAGGTATTATTAATAAACGTTAAGACTTACTTCAATGACTGAACCAAAACTAGAGTGCATTTATGTCAATAACATAGAACTTTTAAATTAGTTTTATACAAAATACAGATTTTTTGAAATAATTTTAAATTGTTCCATGAAAGGATTTTAATCTAACTTTAAATACAGTCTCTTTTGTAAAATCGTGTAGATTATAGTTATGCGTTCAGAGAAGTAGAAACAAAGATAATTTAATTCCTTAATCAAGTTAATATTTACTAAATAATCGGAAAATTTCGTTGCCTATAATCAGACGCAAACACGAAGAAGAATATGTTTATTACTGTAAAATATGTACTGAATATTGGTTATTTGAGGACTACAATGAAAACGTCCGTTCACTATGCAACATTTATTGAAAAGCGGAGCAACATACCCTACAACATTTGCATTTGTGAATCACTTATCTACCTACATATATTTCAATTACATGTGTTTTGTTTCAGGATGGATCCATGGAGGTGATTCCTGTAGATTACCAAACAATTCTAGTCGGCAATCCTGTATTAGATCTGTTATATTTCATCTTTACGGGATCAGATGAAGAGTTTAGATGTCAATATTATGAACAACTCATTGAGCATTATTATATACATTTGAATTCAGCATTACACAATCTGAATCTCGACCCTGACAAGCTTTACTCGAAAGAGAATTTCAAATATGATTTAAAAGAAGTAAGCTTCCATTGTTTCTAGTTTCTTTTACGTGACTATTTGTTTTGGTGTTAAAAAACACTGTTGTTAGTTGCTGTCGGAATTATTTTATAGACTGTTGTTAGTTATGTTTAGTATGCTGTGTTCATATAACTTATTCTTTGTAGTGTAATAAAAAATAAAATTTGTTTATTAATTTTAAGTTATTAAAATAAAATAAACGAATTTTGTGATGAATCTTTTGGCTCAAATAACTCTTCACCAAATACTGAATCCTTTATAGTAGTCTCCACTTCTACATCAAAAATATTGCTTACTATAGCAAATTAATATTTGTTGTTAGTAATATTTACTTAAGAATTGTTAACAATATAAACATATTTCTAAAATCCTTCTAAAAATTGTTTACTTGATAAGATGTACTTCATCGTACTAATTTTGTATTACATTCCTTACAGTTTCTACCATTTGGACTAATCTGTAGTATATTCACACTACCAATAATTACCATTAACACGGAAGATGCCCCAAAACCTCAAGGTGAAGATGGTCTGGAGACTATAGCAATTAATGCCGTCACAAAAACAAGCGCTCTGTACCGTGAGAGATTTAATGGAATCGTAAATGACTACGTGAGATGGGGTGTCATATAAATTGACAAAAACAAATTAAATACATAGATAGATAAATTATTTATGCACCGATTAGAAACACATCACACATGAGCTACGGAAATAATAAATTTATAAAGAAGAGGAATTGTTCGACCTACAGCTCCGCTACCTATTACCATTCCACCGCTCACCGTCGACAGGGAATTCATCCCTACACGCTAGAACCTAAGTGGTTCCGGACAGTGCCGTTTCAGAGGAGATTCCTTTCGCGTACACTTAGATTGTGGAATGAATTTCCTGCTGAGGTTTTGCATAAGACTACAGCATGTGATTTTTCAAGAAAGGTATATTAAGATTTCTTAAGCGTAGGCAACGCACACGTGACTCCCCTGGTAACTCAGGCGTCCATAGGCTACAGTAACCATTTACCATCAGATGGACATGCTTGTTTGCCATCGTCGTGGTGTAAAAAAAATAGAGGTAGCTTTATGTATACCTCAAAGGTGAATAGGCAACCAACTCAGAATAAAGATAAATCTGCAAGTGACACCAACTCGGTATAAAGCTACAGATAAATCTGCAGTGCTGATATTCTACTTTGCAGGTACTTAAAAATATATATGTATATGTATTAAATTTGGAGCTAGTTAATATATGAATGCAAATACAAATCGTGATGGAAGAAAATAATACAAAATAAATAAATAATGTAATGTATTATGTTATTAAATTATTTAATACGTGAATAATAAGAATTACGTATTCTTCTTCTTCTTCTATTATATTGATATGGTCAAACGCTCCGTTATACTGATATGATTGTCCAAAACCGTGCTTACAAACAGATGGACAAACAGATGTTTAATTAAAATAACGTAACAAACAATGTGTTTTATTCCACTATCAGTTATTTTGATTACGGGAACAATTTAAAAAACACTGTGTATTTATTTATATAAAAAAATATTGCATAACAAATAATACTATTATGAAAATGTTGTACCTACATACCTAAATATTAAAAACATAAATAGGAAATTCTAATACACAGTGAAACCTTGGATACAGCAATCTAATGTGACTTGGACAGTTTTAAGCTACCTGTTCACTACACCGTAACATGTGAGTTTACTAATACATTGATTGAAATGTAAAACAAATAATAACTGTAAAAAAGAGATACAATGAAAAATATCTTAATATAGATAGTGTAAAAATAGCTTTTATTTATCTAACTATAATGGTAAACAAGCTAGTTGTAACTGTTGCACTTAGTGGAAAATGTTATCGATCATTACATTATTACGTAATGCCCGAGCATTACTTTTATAATTTTGCAGCTTTATTTCACTCCCTTTAACCGAAATACATCTTACAAAGCAAGCAGCTTGATGGCTGAAATAGGTGATAACAACCTTGTAAAAGCCTGGCTCGGTTTCTGATATATAAAAAGTAATATAATTTTGCATATATAAAGAGCATATATATTCTACAAATAGACTCATTGCAAAACTTGGAGTATCTAATCTTAAAGATCTTATCATGAAATTTGACACACATATATTGTTTTTATAGTTCTGATACGGTTTAATGAGCAGATAGCTTTACACGATGATCTAACGTCCGTATGACAAAAAGGTCAATACAAGGTCAAAGCAATAATATTCATTCGGATTGCTGTAGTAGTAAAGAACGGTGTTGATACGCACGTGTTAGATATCAAAGAAAACATTAAATTGTAGTACCTAAATTTCTTAGTAGCAACAGTTTAGTGATCATATACAATGGGAACTATCGACACGGAACTTATTTTGCGAGAGTTGGTTTACAATATTGCCGAAGAGCTAAATTATACAGATGCCAAAATAGACGTGCAAGAAATTACTACTGGTGGTGCTAATTATAGTTCTGCATTATATGAAGCAACAATATCTGAGGCAAATAAAGACAAGCTTGAATTTTTTGCCAAAGTCGCTGTTGTGGGTGAAGTAGCTCGATCTCAGTTTCCTTTAGCTCTATTTGATATAGAACGTTTCGCTTACAATGATTTATTAAAAAAGTATGCAAAAATACAAGACAAAAATAATTTGCATGATGACAATAGACTAGTTTGGCCCAAATTTTATGGTTGCAATCCAAAATTGTATGAGGAAACAATAGTCCTTGAAAATCTAGCAAAAAAAGGATATGTCACTTACAACAGATTGAAGTCGATTGACTGGGCTTATGCCTCCAAAGCTGTCGAGTCTCTCGCTAAATTTCATGCTCTATCTATTGCATATGGTGAAGAAAATCCAGAAGAATATGCAAAACTTATGGCCAAAATGAAATTTAAATCTAGTGGTGTACAAGAAATGGGTAATGCTTATGAGAAATTAGCAGGTATGGCTTTAGCTGTGACAAAGGACGAAAATAAAGAGAGATTAAAAAAATATATAGAGAAAAAAGGAAGTTTAGTAAATATGACGAAATTTTATCAGCCAACTGGCATAAAGTTGTTAACTCACGGTGATTATAGGCCGAGTAATTTGATGCATAAAACTAAAGAAGTAAGTGTCCAAAATGTATATATTTCATAATATAATTACTTATTTAATTGCTATAATATATTCTTTGCGTTGCATATATTATGCAATAATGACTTAAGAAATGTTGTGAAATAGAAGTGAATTTGTTTATATCCAAACACTAATGGAAAAACAAGAAACCATAACAATCCAAGCGTATTGTAAATCTACTAAAATAACTTAACCAAAGGCTTCACTTACCGTTTAAGTTTTAAAAAATCTGTTCATTCTCGTACCTTACTTCATTAAATGCCCGCACTGCAACTTACTTGCTGAGTCTTAATTCCATCTTTTTTCTTTTAACTTACCTACTAACGATTGTAACTTGCATTATGTTATGTTAATAGCCTTTGCTTAATAATCTAATAACTATTATTTCTATAAATTTTAGCGTAGAAATAAACTTTTCAACTCTATGTGTACACGGGAAGCAAATTCCCGAATTAATATGCAGATAAAGTTGAAAAGTAGCAAGTATATATGTATGTATAAGTTCTTAATTATTGTCGATATTTTGTATAAATAACCATTAGTAAAACTGTATTTATTATTAATAGTTTAATAGGATATTTCTTTTTAGTTAGACCATTAAGTTCTCTTTCTAATATTTCTTGACCTGCAAGTGTCTACGATTTCTAATAGTTTAATACTTTCAGGATGGTACCATTCATGTAATTCCTGTAGACTTCCAAACAATAACGGCTGGTAGCCCTATTATTGATCTAATATACCTCATCTTCACTGGTTCCGACGAGGAGTTCAGACGTCAGCATTATGAGCAGCTGGTCGAGCATTACTACCAGGAGCTGACCCGCGCATTACGCAATCTGAACTTGGATATTGACAAGCACTACCCAAGGAAGAACTTCGATAACGACTTGAAAGACGTATGTAGAGTATTTAACCTTTATGTTATTAACCGGGTCTTAACAAAACGTCGAGAGAGGTAGATACCTTTATTTGCCATAACATTATTCGTGTTAAGACCCGGTTAATAATGTAAATAATGTATGTATGTAGTCTAAATAATTATTCTACTATATGCAGAATCAATTTATTGAAATAAATTCTAGTTTATTTTTTATTCTACCGCTACTTCGGAATATAAAGTAAGCCTAGAAAGAAACTCTACTATTACTCTTTTTAACAAAAGTACAATAATTTTACATTTTTTAAATCTTGTGTTCGCAAATAATACTAATTTGTAAGAGCCAAAAAAAATCTACGTTTTCATGTAACTGAGAACATAGTTTTTTTTTATCTCAGGATAAGCCATATAGCGCTATCTAGTCCCAAGCTAAGCTAACTGGTGTAAATACATACATAATATACATAAAAAACACCCATATCGGTAAAAACAGTCATACCTATGAATACAAATGTTTGTACCAGGAATTGAACCCGTGATCATCGGAAGTAAGGCGGTCAACTGTGGTCGTCAAATGCATGTTTTTAGCACTAATTTCAAACTACTCAAAGTAAATAATTATCTTAATAATATAACAGCGCCAAAGCAAAGCTTGTACTCTGAGTACTAAATTGGTTATACCTATTATTTTGTTATACATATGTATATATTATATTTATTTTTACAGTTTCTTCCCTTCGGACTTATACTTGGTGTATTTACATTACCCGTCATAACTGTGGAAGCTGAGAATGCTCCAACTCTTCAGGGTGAAGATGGTATCAACAGTATGGTGATATCGAAGACCAGCAATTTATACCCGGAGAGGCTTAATGGGATCGTTAATGACTACATCCGATGGGGAATACTTTAAATCACATAGTATAAATTCTTTACATAGTATAAAACACTGACAGTGGACCGGAAGACGCAGCGTGGGAAGGCCTCCGACAAGGCGGACCGACGTTCTGGTTAAGATCGCTGGAAAGCGTTGGTTGCGAGCAGCGCAGGGCCGATCGTCGTGGACATCTTTCAGCAGTGGACGTCTTCCAGCAGTGGACGTCTTCCGGGCTGAAATGATGATGATGATGAGTGTAAAACAAATGTGTCATTCTGATCTAAATGCTATATTACTGTGAAGTTTAATTAAAATCCATTCAGTAGTATATGCGTGAAAGAGTCACAAACATTAGTCCATCTATACTCACAAACTTCCGCGTTTACAAATATTATAATTAGTAAGATATTATACCTAAGTAAAAAGTATATATAAATAAGTAAAATATATATTCTTATGATAGACATATGTTGTTATGTTACTGTTTTACTATTTAGAATATGCGTGTGATTAAGGTGTTATGAAATTTTGCTGCGCAATAAAGGTTCATTTTTAAAAAATATGTTCTTTTACTAACATTCCCCGATTCAAATTCAAAATAAAAAATCATTTATTCATATAGGACACTTTAGCACTGGCAAGAAATTCAACTGATGTTTTTTAAACTTGTTTACATTGTGTATCGTAAAAATATCAGGTAACATTGATTAAAAAAAATCTCTTGCATGAACATCTATTGCTATACACGTTTATCGTTTAGTGAGTAATATGCTATTAAATACTCACTAAACGATTATTTAAGATGATAAAAAATAAAAAAATATTTAATAACAAACAATAATAATATGTATGTACCGAAATATTAAAAACATATGATATAGATACAGTGAAACCTTGAATAAAGTAATCTATAACAACTTGAATAGATTTAAGCGCACTGTCCACTACACCTTATCACGTGTGTTCACTAAAATGTACGACAAATAATGGCTGTAAAAAAGTAATACAAAGACTCTGACTAAAGTCGTTTCCCTCAGGAGGCAGTTGGCCTTCAGACGCTCTGTAAGTCCTTCCGCGGTTTGGAGTACTATCTGTACTATCTATCCATCGCCCTCAATCATCCTGTGAAGCTGTAAAGGCCAGCAGCAGCCAACTGCATAAGAGCAATTCGAAAAAAACGCCTTAACACGTGAGTTGCCCAATATATTTATTCAAATGTAAAACAAAAAAAGAGATAAAAAGAAAAACATCTAAATGCGGATAATTTAAAAATAGCTTTTAATTATTTTAGTGTAATGTCTGTTTGACACCTTACGACCCACGCAATCCAATAACCGTAAGTCGTTATTCTGTTTGCGTTGGTAACCGCCGCCTATATACGCCAGTACCACGGACATCACATCATGTAAACCCGGGGCATTACTCTTGTAATTTCAAAGTTTTATTTCACCCTTCAACCGAAACTCATCTTGACGAAATAGGTCAGATACGTTATATTTGCGCAAAGGAATTTGTTACAGTCTGTCTCTGTCATATATAAAAAGCATAGATCTTACTAATATGATGAACATGAATGCTCGTGAATATGAATGAATATTTGTTACTCTTTCACGCAAATACTACTGAACAGATTTTGATAAACTTCAAGGTAATATAGCTTATATATCAAAATAACATATAGGCTATAAGTTATTATGTAAATTGGACGAAATATAAGGATAAACGTCAAGTAAGTGTGATGCAGACAAAGTTGCACGGGTCAGCTAGTATTTTGTGCCCTTGAAGGAAGGAAGAAGGTATACTTCAAGGGCACAGTGCATCTAATGATCTTATCATGATATTTTACACTTATATTGTTGTTGTCGTTCTGATACAGTTTAGTGAACAGATAGCTTTACGGGATGATCTCACGTTCATATGACGACGAAGGTCGAAGCAATAATAGTCATTTGGATTGTTGTAGTGGTAAAGAACCGTTGATAAGAACGTTTTAGAACTAAAATAAAATATTAAACTGTACTTGAATTTCGTAGTAACAAAAGTTGGTGATCATATACAATGGGAAATGTCGACACAGAACTTATTCTGCGAGAGTTACTTTACAATATTGCCGAAGAGCTGAATTATACGGATGCAGATATAGGTGTGCAAGAAATTACTAGTGGTGGTGCTAATTATACTTCTGCGTTATACGAAGCAACAATATCTGAAGCAAGTAAGGAAGAACTTGAACTTTTTGCTAAAGTCGCTATTGTAGATGAAGTAACTCGATCTCAGTTTCCTTTAGCTCCATTTGATATAGAACGTTTCGCTTATAATGATTTATTAAAAACCTATGCAAAAATACAACACAGAAATAATTTACACGATGACAATGGACTAGTTTGGCCCAAAGTTTATGGTTGCAATCCAAAATTATATGAGGAAACAATAGTCCTTGAAAATTTAGCAAAGAAAGGCTACGTTGCTTACGACAGATTAAAATCGATTGATTGGGCTTATGCCTCCAAAGCTGTAGAATCGCTCACTAAATTTCATGCTCTGTCTATTGCATATGGCGAAGAAAATCCAGAAGAATATGCGAGACTTATAGATAAAATGAAAATAAACCCTAGTGCTGTAGAACATATGGGTAGTGCTTATGAGAAATTAGCAAGTATGGCTATAGATGTAACAAAGGAAGAAAATAAAGAGATTAAAAACATTTATAGAGAAAGAAGGAAGTTTAGTAAATATGACGAAATTTTATCAGCCAACTGGCATAAAGTTGTTAACCCACGATGATTATAGGCCAAGTAATTTGATGCATAAAACGAAAGAAGTAAGTGTTCAAAACATATATATATCCTAATACCATTACTTATTTAATTACGATAATAAATTTATTGTGTTACATAATAATTTAACAAGGTTTTGTTTAATTTGATCTCTATTTATTCTAGGGATTTTAGCATTGAAATAAAATTTTTAACTTGATCTATATATTTTGAAGTAAGAAATTACCGGTTTGTACCGAAAAATTTAAACTCGTTTTTTCCTAAGATTATTTAATTAAAATATTTACCCTCATTATCTGTATATTGCTGCCATCTAATCAGAATTTAATGTATGCCTTTAAAATAGAAGTCTGGGGATCCAAATTCGCCAAACTGTATCAAAGCATTTTGTTTGAAAATATTAATTGGGGTTAACACGTTAAAGACAGCATGCCCACGGTTGGGTCACTCCGCAACAAAAGTAAATTTACACGTTGAGACGAGGATATAACCCGTGGGTACTTTAATTGAAATAAATCTAGAGGTTAAATAGTGTCTACCTCAAGTTATTGTACACTAAAATCATATTTAAAAAATAATTACGTACGTAAACATAATAATACGTAATTAACAATAAAAGAAATTCAGGTCCCTATGTTATATCCCAGATGGGATAAGGAAGAAGCAGATGATGATGTTGATGTGAGAAATAATATTTTTCATCGTGGTCTTCAACGTGTTAAAGTATAAATTGTCGTTCCATCTTTTGTCTTTAATATTATTTGTTCAGAGTTTTACTTAATGTGAAACATAACCATAACAAATTCATTTATAACAATACATCTTTTTGTTATTAATTACGGTCGAATTTCGACTAGACTTCAACGTTGTTTATATAAATATCCACAATAGTTATACTTTTTTAAGAACTATTTATTACATTTAAGAATAAGTTTTTTTCTTTAATTAGGCCATAAAGGTTTTCTGTGGTTTCGTAGTAATCATACACATTGTCGAACTTTCAGGATGGTACAGTGCATGTGATTCCTATAGACTTCCAAACAATAACGGCTGGTAGCCCTGTTATTGATCTAACATACTTCATATTCACGGGCTCCGACGAGGAATTCAGACGTAAACACTATGAACAGCTGATTGAGCATTACTACCAGGAACTGAGCAGAGCCTTACGCAATCTAAACCTGGATATTGACAATCACTACCCAAGGAAGAACTTTGATAAGGACTTGAAAGAGGTACGAAATTTAATTTTATTTTTGTACTAACATGGTGGCATACCATCATAATACCCTTATGCTTGTTTGCCATATCTGATGGTAAACGGTAGGATACTGTACCCAATGTACGCTTGAAGCACGACTTGCCGACTCTTAAGAAACCTTAATATACCCTTCTTGAAAACCTCATGCTGTAGTCTCTCGAAAAAACCTCGGCAGGTAGTTCATCTATAATACAATCATAGTGTACGCCACTGTAATCTAATATAGTTTTAAATTTAATTACAAGCATTAACTTAATTACAAAATAAATAAATTATTTGATCACTGAATTGAAAATTTAAAAATACATGAATGAGCACATAAGCTTGTCTATTGCTCTTTTCAAGAAATATTGCGTTAGGTCAACTCTCTCTTCAACTTCAAAAAAGATTTACGTTCTCATATAGTTATATTATTTATTTTCGTTAACTTTAATTCAACGAAGATATCAGTTGATATCTTCATTGAATTAACGTAAACAAAAATAAAGCCATTGTTGCTAAAAAGGTTTTAACGCCTTTTTGGGCATAAGTTAGTCGTCCACATACCATTTTTGAAGAAATTTAAAAAGTTCATAATTCGCTGAATGATAATTATCGTTACTGATATAATTACCCTGCAGACGTATAACCTTTTTAAAATTCAGTTATTTTTTGGGCCTATTCTAATGCTGTTGACCGCAGCTGGCTTTATAGCTTCACCGGACGATAGGGGGCGAGTACAGATGGCACTCCAAACTCGTGAAAGGACTTATGGAGCGGCTGAAGGCCAACTCCCGCCTAATGGATACGACTTTAGTCTGAGAACAACGGTAGGGTTTCGAACCTCGGTTCAAGTCGTCGTAAGTCGTAAGTCGATCCCCGTTTGAATTGGACGGGAGATCAATCGGAGAGACGACCTAGCATTTCTTTGAATATAAAACAGTACCATTGAATCCTTCAATCGCATACCAAACTATACAGTAACTGACTAACTTGTACAGTTAGTGGGTCTAATTAATATTTTTTTTACAGTTTCTTCCCTTCGGACTTATACTCGGTCTGTTTACATTACCCATAATTACTGTGGATACTGAGAATGCTCCAACTCTTCAGGATGAAGTTGGTGTTGACAACATGGTGATATCGAAGACCAGCAGTTTCTACCCGGAGAGGCTTAATGGGATCGTTAACGACTATATACGATGGGGAATACTTTAAATCTTATTATTATTAATGTTATAAACAAATTCCACGCGGTGAAACCGCGGGCATAGCTAGTATAGTGTAATTTGAAGAACTACCTCGGCTATTGACTGCGATACGAGGCAGCTGATCCCTGTATACAAATTCAAATATTTATTGCATTGCCTAATAAAAAATTGTATAACAAACTATAATAGCTGTGTGTTTAATATTTACATTGCTTTTACTAACATAAATGTGAAAGTTTATAGTATGGATGGATACGTCTGTTATTATTTCATGTAAAAACTGCTTCACAGTAATATAGCATCAACATACAGACTATAAATTGCATGCAAGCGAATCCGCGAGCAGAGCTAACATAATATTAATGTGAGCTGTGCCTGCAGTATCACCTATAGTTTTCATGTGATAAACAAACATCCATCCACACTCGTATACTTTCGCATTTATAATATTAGTAAGAAGTAAAATAATTTTAATATTTTTAAACTCATTATTTTTATACTCATTACATTTACATTGTAATGTAATGAGTAATTGTTTTATCTGCGATACAGAACTTTTGAGTATTTTTCATAAATCTTTTCATTGCGTGTCTCCGTCTGGCTCTGAGATATTTCATACAGTTTCATACAAAACTGAGATAGTTCATCTACGATATGCAATTTCCTGCTGGGCACGTCTGTCTCAAATTCTATTATTATTATGACATATATCTATTAATTTTGTAAGTTTTTTACTATTCAGTATAATGTTTAAACATTTATGTGTATTACGAATTTTACTAACCAATATATATTTTATTTCTAAAATATGTTCTTTTATTAAAATGACCCGACCATTATTAACATTATTATTGACCATTATTAATATACATAGAAAACACCCAGATTGATATGAACAATCATACTCATCAATTTAAATGTTTTTACCGTGAGAGGAATCGAACCCGCGAACATCCAAGGCCGTCAATTGTTAACTAATTTCCCTCCATCAAGTAAGTAGAGCTCGTGCTATACTATTACTGCTAATAGATGACTAAATAAAATGAAAAATCATTTATAATAAATGGCAAAAATATCCTACAAAAGAATTATTAATACAAAAAACTTAACGTACATATGCATATATATAGTTTTTTTTATTAAGATTAAGGTTCAATTGAGAAGAACTGGCAAGAAACTCAACTGTATTTTTTATATATTTTTTTAAAGCCAATTTATATACACTACTGTATTACTGTAGTCATTTATATCTAACATTAAACGAAAATCCCGAGTATGAACAACTACTGCCATGGACGTCTGACCATAGTATGTATATTATATCTTGAAACACATTCTTATAAAGGCAGAATTTAGAATATCAACAAATTTGTGATAAAATTAAATAATAACTGATTAAGAGCATACCGTACATACTTTTATTGGGTTCAGTACAGTAAATATTTTAATATATATGTTTTTATGTGAATCTGTTACATTATGATTAGAACATTATCTATGTTCTAGTCATAACAATATCTGTAACTTAGCGGGTTCATATGTTGTCGAATTCGGTGTTATTATGCAGAAATCCATTTCAATATATTTTAATCATATCATTTTCTATTATTCTCCTACCATTACCATACTTCTTGGTTCAATGTTCAACTTGACTATTAAAGTCTACCAATCAATGAATGTTCATCCTCTCTTTGTGAGATGGATGGAAATCATTAAGATATTAAAAGATTATCTTTGTGTACATAAAGAGATTCTTAAGAAGATATAGAATACACATTAAAAAAAAATTGTAAACTGCAAACCTTGGGAATTACACCTACAGACAAATGACCTAAAAGATCAGAAGACATTACAAAACAATAAAACCATTTTACTACGGAACTCTAATTAAAACAGATAATATAGATTGTTTATTATAATTTAAGGGACAAAATATACTTAGTTACACATCAGTTGCATAGTGAAGTGCGAACCATGATGAACATCAACACCGAGCTCGTTCTCCGTCAGTTGCTTGACAAAATCGCTGATGAACAAAACTATAAAGAACCCAATATAAGTGTACATGCTATAACCAGTGGCGGTGCTAACTACACTTCCATTTTGTATTTAGCAACAATTTCCCAACAAAACAAAGATGAACTTAAGCTCTTCGCAAAAGTTGCAATTATGAGTGATGTTGCCAGATCTCACTATTATTTGCCTCTGTTTGATTTAGAACGATTCGCATATACTAATTTATTACCCCGTTATGCGGATATTCAAGATAGAAACCAAATATCCGAGGAGAACAAACTCGTATGGCCCAAATTTTACGGTTGCAATCCAAATCTCTATGAAGAAACGATAGTACTCGAAAATCTGGTTGCAAATGGGTTTAACCCATACGACAGATTCAAGTCCATTAATTGGGCTTATGCGTCTAAAGCTGTAGAAACACTCGCTAAATTCCATGCTCTATCCATCGCTTATGGTGAAGAGAATCCGACAGAATATGCGCAACTTCTGGAAAAGATGAAATTTGATCCCAATTCTGTGGCACGCGTCAGTGGTGCTTTTACAAAATTAGTAAAAATGGCTTTAGCTGTGACAAAAGAAGAAAATAGAGAAAGATTAAAGGCGTATATAGAGAAGGAAGGTGATTTAGTAAATATGGCGAAATCCCGTCAAGAAAACTTCGTCGGATTGAATGTTTTAACTCATGGCGGCTTCAGACCGAGCAATTTGATGCACAGAACAAAGGCAGTAAGTACACACAACCTAACTTTTATTATAAATGCGAAAGTAAGTTTGATTGATTCGCTTTCATACCTAAAACGCTAAATCAATTATAATGAGTTTCAGTATAGAGATAAGTAGGACCCTAATTATAGGCTAGTTTTTATTGCAAAAATCTCATAGCCAGTGGGGTGATTGGTCTATTGTATCATCCGATTTGCTTTCGACTTGCAGAATAATTATTTTTATTTAATAATTGACAAAATTAATAACAATGATGATGAGAAGCATCAGGCAAAAACCACGATTTTATATAACAAATCATATCAAAATATATTTCTTCCTGTAGTCAGTTCGAAGTGCTTTAGAGCTAAGAAGAAGTGATAACAAACTCAGAACTTGTTCTTTTCAAATGAGCATGTATATGATTACAAAAATACAGATTCGTAATAAGTATGTATAAAAGATACCAATTTTACACATATTCCATTACACATGAGTCGACATGTAAAGAAGTTACTGAATTATATACGGAAGTACTATGTACTGTACAAGAGAAATACGAGCGATGAAGGTGACTATTGATGTAAGCCAAAGGGGTCCTACACCCGGGTCAAAGGTTCCGGGAACTGCTTGGAGTTTCCCTCTCTGCCAAACGAAGGACCCGGCACCCTTACTATGACTCTGTGGACTGCTAAGAACTTCTTCTCTTTCATATAAATATAATTAAAAAATAATATACCATGATGTTGTCAATTAAAACTGTCTCTGACCATCCCATCTGGGATAACGGGTATGAAAGTATATATCTATCTAACTATTTATATATATGTACATATGTATCTAACTATTCTTTTATTTCCAGGATGGTACCATTGAAGTGATACCTGTAGACTTTCAAACTATCACAGCTAATAGTCCAGTCGTGGATTTGTTCCACTTCATCTTCACGGGCTCCGACGAGGAATTCAGACGTGAGCATTATGAGCAGCTGGTCGAGCATTACTACCAGGAACTGAGCCGAGCGTTACGCAATCTGAACCTGGATCCAAACCAGCTGTATCCTAAGGAGAACTATAAAAAAGATATAGAATATGTACGTATGAATAGTTTCTTTTGATTATTAGCCTGGACTTGATCTTGTAGAATTGATGGTGCAGTGGTTAAGCATGCTAATTTAATTCGTTGCGGGTACAATTCTATGGTACAAACATTGGTATCCATAAGCATGATTATTTGTATCGGTCTAGGTATTTTCTATGTATATTATGTATGTATTTACAAAGAAAATGTATATAAGTACTTATAGCAATTGTCTAATAACCACAACACAAGCTCTGCTTAGCTTGGGACTAGATAACGCAGTGTGAACTGTCTAGAGATATTCTTATTAATATATCCTACGTTTAAACCAGTATATAGCATATAAACAAAAAATAATGAATATAAAAAAAGAAATGTGATGACTATTCAAAAGTGCTTCAATGTAAGTTTATTTGAATAAATGATTTTCTATTCTATTCTATTCTATAAAGACAGTTTCCGCCTATTTATATGTTGTATTTTTTTATTGTGGCGTTGCTAATGTTTAGATATCCCTTTGTTAGATTACGCCTTGATTAATTTTCATGCAATCGGCCATTAAACTTGAGTACAGTCATACAAATTAAATATAGAAATATGAATAATTGTTTATTTGCAATAAAAATGACAAATGTTTTGTTTGCTATTAAATTAGATATTGATAAGATTAGATGTCATTGAGCTGATATTTACATTACATACATTCCATTTTCATTATCTTAATATTGTATTTTCATTAAATTAACATTGCATTTTCATTAAATTAACATTGCATTTTCATTAAATTAACATTGCATTTTCATTAAATTAACATTGTTTTTTTTGTTGAACTTTTAGTGTTCGTTAAATTCACAGTACTAGTTACTTTTATTTCTTTATTAACGAAATGAACATTTCTTTGCAGTTTCTACCAATCGGTCTCATTATTGGTTTATTCACATTGCCAGTAATCACCGTTGAAAGTGAGAACGCTCCATCTTTTGAAGGCAAAGACGGTATGAACAGCATAGCGTGTACTAAAACCAGTAACCTGTACCCGGAAAGATTGAATGGAATTGTCAACGACTACGTCAGATGGGGAATACTTTGAATGTATCGTTTTATACCTTATATATATATATATATTGGTACCATAATAAGAAATGTGAAATTGTATTTTTTCATTTACTATTAAAATAATTTTAGTTGTTGTATAATTTTTATTTTTTTACATAATGTAATTATTGACTTATTCACTTTTTTTTTATTATACTAGCTGACCCGGCGAGGCGTCCCGAATGGCAGAATGAGTATTAAATAAACTAATGAATTAAAAAATCGACTGGCGTCGAAGACTAGGCGTTACGAAGTTCGCCGGGTCAGATTGTACTAAAATATAATTATGTATAATATAAGTAATATATAGTATATAATATAAGTATATATTAATATCAATATGAGTTTTTCTTTCTAAACCAATGTTATATATTGACTAGCTGTACCTGCGACTTCGTCCGCGTTATTTATGAAAAAATATTTAAGATACTTAATATAATAGTTTTATATTACAAAAATGCAATTCAATCAACAGTTAATTGAAAAATAAGTTTCAATCTTAGCTAGCTTTCAACCACTTTCAACCGCTTACAACCATTTTTTCGCAGTCAAAAGTATGTCCTTTCTCAGGGTCTAGACTATCTGTGTACCAAATTTCGTTGAAATCGGTTTAGTAGTTTTGACGTAAAAGAAACACAGACAGACAGAGTTACTTTCGCTTTTATAATATTAGTAAGGATAGTCTCGATAGTCTAGACGTTTAGCACATCGCCTTACAATGGTCGCTGGTTCGATTCTTCTCATGATGCAAGCATTGTTATTGCTTGTATCTATGTACCTATAATAAATACATTATTTGTAAATACATATATTATTTACAAAAAAAATACCTTTACGTATTTGTATCAGTTGTCTAATACCCATAAAACAAGCTGTACTTAGCTTGGGACTAGATGGCGTTGTATGGATAGTCCAACGTTAATTATCATTATGATAAACAAGAAGTATTTATTTTGTTATTAGAATAAATATCTTTCTTTATGGATTTTATAAATCTTTTCACCTATGGAACGTTACATTATCGGCGAGTGAAGTTCATTGTATTTTATTTTATAAAATTCTCTTTTATGTTTCTACTAACATTTTCCCGTCCGCCTTTACTTTGTTAAGCAAAGTTTTATTCCTTACATTATTCCTGAGTGTCAACTCAAAGGCAGTTAGAAGTACATATTATCATCATATCACACATCCTGTGTTGTTAAGTTGAAAAATCGCTCCTACGAATATCCTTCAATTTTTGTCCCTGACGGGCTTAGGTACCGAACTTTGAATGAGGGCGAGCACAATAGATCTATGTAGATCGCAATGCTACCGGTCTTAACACCTGACAAGAGCAAAACAATAGAATAGAATAGAATAGAATAGAAAATCATTTATTCAACCACTTAGTCAAACATTTTTTTTTTCGCAGTCTCATCACAAGAAGAACAAGTATCTTGTTGTTGCTCTTTTAAATAATTTATTCTTCTTCAATTTAAGTTTAAGTATGTGAATACAAACCACCGATTAGACTAATTCAATGAAATAATAAAATAGAAAAAAGACATTCAATATACTGGTTAAACAATTAATAAGAGAAAATTCGATTGAACGATCGGTTTAGTATATTACAAATATTTAGTTCAAAAATTTTATTAGATTTTAAAAACAATTCATTTTAGGACTTTAATTAACTAACTAAACATTGATTTAATTTCTATAAACTAGATTATTTAAAAAATAAAATAATTATAAATAGAAACATCATATGGTTTAATAAATAAGATATATTAAATAAATTTACGTAAAAACAATACAAAAATAATATTTAAAAAATGTTTCAATCTTATTTTAGGAACGATAGCTTTGATTTAGCACACTAATGTATATCATTAGTCATATTGGTAAACAAAAAATGTCTTTAGCATATCGGGAGTGACCCAAGTGTTTAATTATTAATTAGTGGTCGCGGTAAGTGATTTAATTCTTTTACTTTAAATGAGGCATTCTGAAATTTATTGAGAAGATAATATTTAGGATGTGTTGATCCAGCTAAATTTATAATTGCAAATAATAGGATTATTAAACTCGGTTAGATGTATGTTAAGTCGACTTATAAGCCTTGTTTAAATGTTAGATATTAGATATAATAAGATTGAGAGCCTCTATGGTTTGGTGGCTTAATGTAAATGTTCGAGTTACAATGCATTACATATGTTTATTTACTTTTTTATAAATTGTGTGATTTTATTTTTATATTATTGTTTTATTTTGTGCATGTTAGTATTATAAAATTATTTTCTTTAGGTTCTACATGTGTTTATTTCCTTTTCTATAAATTATGTGTTTTACTATGTGCTTAAATTCTATGTAATTGTACATCATACAATAGGTAAAATATATAATAGAATAATTGAATCTTTACGTACGTTATAGTCTCTAGAAATTCAATATTCAATATATTAAAAAGGCATATACGTTATACAGCGTTTGGTACTTTCTTGTTAGATGTTAAGGAATTTCCTCATGTTGAAATCTTCAATTAGTTCAAATCTTGAATTAGTTGTGGAAGTTTTCATCAGGAGGAGAGAGAGGCTCAGATCGATGAATCTATGATGAAGTCACATGTTCCATCATTTGAGGAGAGATGGGTAGCTCGCAATGAAGGTTTTAGACCACGATGGAGATTTCTAAACAAAGGGACTTCTGTTTAGTTGATAACTATGTGGTTATCTAGGTCTCACACCCTGAACTTTACTATATGTGCGTTATATGTGTGGTGTATCAATATAGAGATATGTTGCTACCTTGGACATATGGTGTTATGTAGGTAAAGATTTAGGACACATATCACATTTATTATATAATACAAATCATTACACTGCACAAATATGTATATAATAGATGAATTAATCCGTAATCAATATTATCATTAATCAGCTGAAGCAATAGCAATGCTGTTCAATATGACTCCCTTATAGATATTATTTTATTATAATATATAGTTGTGAAAATATCATTGGGGGGATTTCTTTAGTGCATTTAAAAGGTACCTTACCTACACCCGTGTCACAGTCTACCACTTGTGGTTCTCTCCCTGAACCATCAGTGGCCAGTATGAGGGCCTTCATCATAATTAATGTTTAATAAACGTATACATATAAAAGTATTTTAATTAAACCGGTATCTATTAATTCTTATTGAACTTTGGTTCTTTATTAATTAAGATATTTATTATTATTTTCCTTGATCCAGTCAATTCAATAAAATAAAAGTTTATTTCAAGGTCCTTGGCCTTAATAACAAATACTAATTACTTTATTGTATATGCTCAACTTAAGCATATTAGGACTCTTAGTCCTTTAATTTATATACATATTATATAAATATATATATGTATACATAAATATAATCACATCTATGGGCTTCGGTCCTCAATCTATATATACTTATGATTATCCATTTTATGGCTAATCATTTCATCAATTATCTTAGGCTTTGGCATTTACATCTAAGGACTCCGGTCCTGTATCACATCGACTGTCCGCCTAGTGGATGTTCATACATCATTTTAATCCATGTCATAGACCTTTGACATTATTATCTATATTATTCTGATTATTTCACTATGTGATTAATCAAATCTTACTGATATATATTTGGACGTGCAGTCCTTCTATAAACTAAACATTATCTTCTGGTTGGTTCATCATGTGGATCATTCAGATATCTCTATTTAGATTTGGGACTTATAGTCCTCGCTTATAATATCTCACTAATATAATGATTACTTTGCTATGTAAGTAATCTTATTTAAATATAAACAATCATAACAGAGTCTAGCTCTGATTAACGAATACACAATGAGTATTCTTGGTATTAAGGAAATTTATAAATTATACATGCTATGGTTGTATAGCAATTATCAACATTATATATTGGATTGACCAATATTGTGGCGTTGATGGCATCGGGCTAGCATACCACTCTAATATTTATCGTACTGCAATTACGGGTGATCTCCAATGTCACATTATAGGGCTGAAAGGATACTGGGATCCATTAGTAAGTTCTGGCTTTGAGTGAAGTTTCTGTTACGACTCGTATCTTCAGTCTGATCTCCACTGTCACACTGGGGCCGGGGTGTTCCCCATTAGGTGGGCTCCGTGACTGAGTGATGCTGGGATCGAGGTCGGCAGTCTATTTGACGGTCTCTCTATCGCCTCATGGAACTGAATGGGTCAATATCCATAAGTAAGCTTCTGTGTCGTGAGTGATCCTGAATTCAGTTCGATTTGCCTTTGACAACTATATCTTATTTATCTACTTGAAGCATCACAAGCTTGGTGAAGCCACTTGTAATGTTGATTTAATAATATAAACTAAACTTGTTTTGGTGCTGAGAATACTCATCCCATCTCACCTTCAAATGGTGTATATCGCAATCCTATTTTGCATATCCCATATTCAAGGGGAAGGAACAAGTTAGTTGGTGAGTCTTCCACTTGAGGCTTGGCGTGTGGATGGAGCCAGTCTCCTCTGCCCCTTTGGGGCCCTCTTAATTATTAAAACCATAATGATTTCACTTTAAATTATTTACTGTATAATTATTATTCATAACATATACTTTGTATCATAATTTGTATTATCGAGATATGTATTTATCTCGTAGTTATTACTCCATCATATACCAATCAAAGAATCTATAGTTACTTACACAACAGGTCCTCCGATACTAGACGATCACATATTGTTATTTATATGGCCAAATGATTGAGTGTTCTCGTTTCTGATCTATATATTTAAATAATTATTATATTATCCAATTAATTAGAAGAAGAGGTTAAAATATTATCCAAAAATTTTATTAGGGAATAGGGCGATCGTTACAACGAGTATGACGGATGAGCCAGCCACCACTGCGCTCGACCATATTTTAGGGAGCCCAATGACCCGGCCCACCACGCCGCCACAAGTCTAGACATTTTAGTGAGCATGACTACTCAAAACACCAGACCACGTCATAGCTACTCACAATTGCCATCTGATGTTTACAGTATTCACATTTCACATAAGAATGCATGCGGCAATTAATACAAAACCCGCTACGCTTTCATATTTCTAAAATAATGGAATCAAGAAAGCAATGAGAATAAAAAATATTAAGTCTTATCTATTAAACACCAATAGTAGGAGCTAGTAATGTGCTATGGAGGAGTGAGGCTCCTCCCGCGGTCCCTCCTGAATATCATTTTTGTTAATTCCTGCAAAACTT